GGGCACCCGGCCTCCGGACCAGCCCGGATGCCTGGGTCCACGCGGTGTCCTGAGAGAATCACGCTCTGCTTTAATGAGGGAGCCGAGGGGGAGGGCCGGGAGACGACGAGGGTGCCGAGAGGGCCCTGCATGCTGAAGTCATTATGTAAAATCGCAGGCTTCCCCCGCTGTGGAAATTTGGAAAAGCGCTTCCACTGGCAGGCCGGAGAAAGGAAATTCCCATCCCGCTAAATTACTAACAGATTGCATGGCAGTCCCGGGACGTGGAGTTATTGTCATTTTTATTCTGTAAATATCTGAACGACCCAGATTGCCTGTTGCATGGCTGGCTTAGCGTGTGTGGGGAGGTGGGGGGGCGTGGAGAACCGCGACCCCCACCCCGGGCTTTCAGCCGCCGGCCAGTGGCCCGCCCCAGGGGGTCAGGGGCCTTTGGGGGTGCGCGATTTTCGGGTTTCTAACCAATGAGGGGTGGGGGCTGGTCTGAGAGCTGAAAGCTGGTGCTCGGGGAAGCCGCTCCAACGCCGGGCTGTTTCACTTTACACTTTCCGCTTTCAAACTCTCCTGCTTTTCCTTGGCGCAGTTCAGTGGCCAAAACAGGACCATATTTTTGTGTTGGCCTTGGATGGAAGGAACTGGAGTGTTAGGGCGGCTAAAATGTATGGTGTATAAAATCATAAATCTATTGCACGACACCCTATGTGGTTTAAAATAAACCCAAAGCAAAAGACTTGTCTGCCGCGGGGACCAGGAGGCCCGCAGGACGCGCGGGTGGGTGCTCGGGACCCGGGGAAAGGGGTGGGGGTGAGACATTTGACCCAACAGTGGGTTTCGCTGGCTCCTCGGGGTGCGATATTAAATAATAGGAAGGGGCCCAGAGGGAGCGATGCCCACGTCACCTCCGCCGTTTATCGGTTCCTCCCAGCGGCCTCGACTCAACAAGGCTGAAATCTGTTGTTTCAGGCACAGGTCTCCCCTGCGGGTGTCTTGTGGGTGTCAGGACACTTTTCAGGTGCCACTACCTATAGATCTGCTCCCACACCAAGAGCGGGGCCTGGCACGCGCCTCGTGCCCAAGGCGCAAGGAGTGGGAACCCAGAGTGGATACTGTGGCTGGGGG